CCTATCCTGTTGATTATCGCTATATCTGAAATTTCCCTTCTACTTACTCTTTTGTAAAAGTCTTAGTTATATATCAGTCTTTTCTGTCATTATATTGTTTCTGTTCTTATTTGGTTTTGTCTTCTTTTTTAATCATCTCCTGCTGCCTGAGGCAAATGGATAGGAGAATAGCCCTTCAATCATTTGCTTTAATATTTTTTTTTTTACTCTATTGTAATCAAACTTTCTTAATCTGTGTCAGGTTCCATGGAGCTCAGATTTCTCTTAATTTTCATTAAAATGCTTAATGTCACAAATGATGTAACATAAGCATCCTTTCTCTGTCATTTGAAAAAGCAATCTTGAGGGTATTTTTCTGTACTATGTTTTGCATACCATATTTCTTCCTTAGAGCTTGGGGACAAGTATCAGGAAAGAGGGGGAGTCGGGAGAGAAAATGGGAAAGAGAGAGGGAGAAAGAAGAAAGAGCAGAGAAGGAGAGGACAGGAAGTCTCTTCTGCTACTTGGAAATCAGCAGAACAACTCTTCATTCCTACGTTCCTACATCAACATACTTTGGTTTTGCTCTATAAATTCTATAAAACATCTTTGTAACATAATTACAAGGGCCTAAAACATATAATAATTGGCTCTTCCAATTGCTCTTTCATCTGAGCAAGCAAGACTCTTTTTATGAGAGACCTGGCAAGGGATAAGGGTATAGTCTGAGTTCTGGACAAGGGCTCCCCCAACAGCTAAAAGGTCCTATGAGCACTTGGCTGAAAGGCAATCCAACAGTTTTGTTAGTGGATGTCAACTGTGGATTCAGCTGTCCTCCAGGCATGGTGAAATACAAAGATGAACACAATAGAGCGACTGCCCTCAAGGAGTCTACAATAAATGGTAATATTAAATTAAAGGTCAACACTTAAAGGTGTACATGAACGAATGTCTGTTCCAAGAAGGTGAGCACTGTGGACAGAATGGGCTGGAATATCTTCATGGAAGAGGCTGACTTGAGCTGGGTCCTGAAGGGGTAGAAAGATTTGGCTGAACAGAGGATAGCAAGGCTGGATGGAGATGGCCTTTATTATCAAGGAAACATTATAAACAAAACCAGAGGAAGGAAAAGATCCAGAGTATACAGGGAATATTGAAGAGATACAAATTAAATTTCTTAAGAGACTTGAATGCCAAAATGAGGAGCCTGAATGTTACTCTTTATCCTGTCTTGAGGAAGGACAGTAAATCCTGAACAGGACTTCTTGCATATGCTGTTCTCTGTGCCTGCAATGGTCTTGTCCCACTTCTCACTCCATCCACACCACCACCACCCCTTTCTTGGTACAGTTGGTTCCTTCAAGTATTTGGTTTAAATGTTCACTTCCTCAGAACACCCTACAAATGTGATCCACTCCCCCTTAACTGTCTATCACAGCATCTGTGATTTGTTTGCACATAATTAATTTAACTACCAAGCGTAACTATTTGTTTATCTGCCCAGCCCCTCCACCAGCACCATGAGTCACAAAGGCAGGGACCACATCCTCTGTATTTGTTTGCAATGCTTCCTTGACAATAAGGGGCATCTCTCTTTAGCCTTCCTATCTCTGTCCTGCCAAATCTGTCCATTCCTTCCAGCCCCAGCTGAAGTCAATCTCTTCCAAGAAACTGTTCCAGCCCATTCTGTCCACATTGCATCAAGAAGGGAGAGGGCCAAAAAAAGAACCCAGTAAAATATCTACTTTTTAAGCAGGCAAATAATAGAGAAAGAACCCTAGGAAAGAGAGGAACAGGAAAGGACAATGTCCCCAAATAGGTGGCAGACAGCCTTAAAAACCAGGCAACTGTAGAGTGGGGTGAGAACAAAGGGTTTTTTACTTAGAGATCACCCATGACCTTTAAGAGAAAGTTTCATCAGTATGGTAGTGATGGAAAGCGAATTATCAGGGGTCAAGAGTGTGTTTGAGAGAAGCCTGGAAAAAAAGAAGAACAGAGGTAGCTTGAGTTTAAGGATGGGAGAGATATAGATAGTCAACAAGGAAAAGATGAGACTTAGGGGCAAGAAGGAGTAGCTGATGTCACTGAAGAAGGGAATCACTGGGAATCATCTGCAATGTGTAGTTAAAGAAAGGTTCAGAACATTCCTCGGAAAGTAGCCATGAGGCGGGGGCCTAACTCTACATTTGCTTTTTCCTCAAAGGTTGGAACAATGGCAGAAAGCCATGAAAGAGGCCTGACAGGCAATAGGTCTCTGTTCATAGGCAATGAGGAAGGAACACAACACCAACTTCAACTGGAGGCTTGCCCGCATGGCAAAACCTAACCACACCCATTTATCTTCTCTTACAAATATCTTGACCCAGAAAGTCCACATGACTCTCACTCATATACTTAAGAAAAAGTTTTGCAAAATCTTCCCCCACAACACCATAGAATTTCAGATCAAGAAAGGACATTAAAAATTATCTAATCATCAAAACAAAATGGATCCAAATCAAGGATGACATTTTTTCTTTCCTGACTGTCATTTTTTTCTCTGCAGGCTAATATTTCTTTTAATAAAATTCATTCTTTCACTGAAACATGACAAAGACATAGCCAAAAAAATAGAAATTCTCATCTTTCCATCTCCATATCTCTAACTGGTTTAATCATTCACTCTCTCTCTGTGCCTTAAAAATGGGACTTTTATCTTTAAATTCATCTGTAAAACTCTTTTCTTCTCCTCCCACTTGCTAAATGGACTCCATTTATCACTCGTTTTATGGGAGCTTATCTACTCCAAAAGAAGTTTGATCAGATAACCTGGTCCTTAGAAAAGCAGAGGAAGATTGCTAGAAATGGCTTCTATTGTTTGAGAATCTCTCTTTGATCTGAATTTTTAGGACAGTTATAGGATGTCACCAGGGTCTCATGCATATTTAATGGTCCAGGAAATTATTACCTTGGTCTCAGGATCTGGAGAGCTTTTGCTGAACTTGCTCACTGGATCCAATCCTTCAGAATGATTTGAAGATGAGCTTAATCCCCAGTCAGAGACTGTACATTCCTAGTTTAATGTTGTGATATAATATGACAGATTTATACATTGGTCTGACATAATGAAATGCAAAGAGATGAAGTGTTTTATTTACACAGTAACCTCTTATTTCAACAGTTCACAGGCTGTTACATAGGCTTTCTTGGCCTTGTCAAAAAGGCCTTAGGAAGCATGGCTGTGAGCCTTGCAGAGCAGCCTCACCAGCTCACAGAGACCAGAGCCTGGGCCATGCAGTCAGGAAGAAGAAAACAACATAAACCTACAAGAAACAAAACCAGGAGATCGGGGAATTCCTCGAAGGCATCCATAGAGCTCTCTGCCACCCTAATGTCCTTTTCTGTCTTTGGATACAGAAGCCGCAGAGTACATGCTTGTTGAATGAATCCCTTCCCCGGTTCATCATTCACTCAACAAACATTGCCGATCATCCTTCACTGAACATGGTCCTCCCTTTACGAGACAGAAAGAAGTGCATACGAAGGTGAAAGGGATACAGTCCTGCATTTAAGAAGGTAGCCTTGTGAGGAAACCAGACAAACACTTAAGCTCCATGGGCTGCACAGACTCTACAGTAGAGGCATAGCAGGTGTCAGGGAGGCAGACTCAAGGAAGAGATTCACTAAAGCAATTCAGGGGTAGATGAAGACAACTTTAGAGATTCATTTCAGGTGAAAATCATTTCAGCTCTGTTAAGGACCAACTTCCTAGGAGTTTGGTTCAACTCCCCAGGTGGAGAACGTGAGGAGGAGATTTGGTGCGTCTCTTCTAAACAGGTGCTCTGGCTATAATATCGGAGGGACAGGAGCTCTTGGCCATGACTCCTCATGAAATTTGACAAGTACATGAGTGAGTATGATAGATGTTGGCTCACACTCTCTTTCATAATATGACCAGGATTTGACATGAGGGACAATAGGGAACGCTCTAGATAACATTGTTCTTATTTAATAGAGCAAAGCACGTGCCCCCAAATAGATGTTCTGGTGTATTGGGTAAAGCAGGTGGATGTAAAAATAAAAAGTCCTTCTTCATTACCAACATTAGAAAAACAAGAAGAAAATAGTTTGCTCCAGGGTTCCCGCCACCCGTAGTTGAGAGAGAGAAGAAAAATTAGACCTCATTCTAAAGTAAAACCTTGCTTTTCCAAGTTTGAAGGACCAGCAGCATGGGCAGCACCTGAAAACTTGTTAGAAATGCAGACTTTCAGGCCCCAGCCCCAACCTACTGCATCAGAAGCTGAAGTTTAACAAGCCCCCCAGGTGGTTTGTGTGCATGTTCAAGTTGGAGAAGCCCACTCAAGACCAGCCTGGTGGCTGAGCATTGGAACACATAAGGAGCTTTTTAAACAACTGATCTCACCCCCAGGAATTCTGATTTAAATGGTCTGGCTCCCTAAGTGATACCAAATGTGGAGAGAAGGTGGTAAAGCACTTGGAGGCCTCCTGTTCCCCAAGAGAACCTCAGAAGTAGCCGCCAGTCTGGGTGCCCATGCTGGGGAATCACTATAAAGCTCCCTGAAGCCCAGGGGAGCAGCTGCCCTTTCGTGGTGCAGATGAACATGGGGACCAAGGCTGGCTGTTCATATCCGTGTGCCCCCGGTTTATTCTTGCATCCATACTCATCAAGGCTCTTCACTGTGCACTTCAGGATGTAGAATTTATGTAGAGATTTGCCGGGGTAGATCAAAGCCTGAATGTTCTATGCCTGCATGTTTAGCTCTTCTCAAACAAGTCGTTTGCAATTAGGTTAAGATCCTCTGCTGTAGAAGGTAATAGAAGGAGAAAGGTGGGCCAAAAAAACTAGAAGCCTGAAGTTGGAAAGCAAAAAACAAACAAACAGAGGAGTTACCCAAAAGAAGCAGCACCCAGCAAGCCCCTGCCATGAGTCAGCACAGGGGAGGCCCAGCCCCTTCCAGGAGAGCCTGGTTAAGGATCGGGCTCCGGGGCTGGGCTGGGCTGTGTATGCTGCTGCTGCTAGTCCCAAGACCAAGTCTTAAGAGCAACTTCCCTTCCTCAGCTGCTTAAACTTTTTTTTTTTACTATTCTGTGGCTGGAAAGAAGTGTCACATTTTGCTCACTCCCAAGCCTTCTCCCCCACCCCCTCTCAGAGACCCTGTGCGTGAGCAGGGGGTGCTGTGAGCCACCTCCAGCCTCTGGTGACGGCTGGAACTAACTACAGCTCCTCTCACTAACGCTATGAAGTTTCTCGGGAAGCCCAGGAGCCAGGCAGTGGCCTCTCTGCCTCTTTGCTTGCTCTTTTTGAAGATTCTGCAACCAGGGCTCAGCCACCTTTACAGCAACCGCTACACTGGGTAAGTGCAGCAACGTGTATGCCCTGACAGCTTTTGGTTGGATGAGGGAGCTGGTTTGGGTGTGGTGGTCTCGGTGTGAATCTGTACACGTTTCTGGTCATCTCAAATGAAATGTATGTGAGCCCCTGGCTCGTTGGTTGAGCTAACAGAGAATGTGGTGGGTGCAGGTCTGGCTTTCTATACTTTTAACAGTGTGGCAACCTCCCCTGCAGACCGGAGTTGAACGGGACTCTGTCTTTGCAGCAGCTACGGGCAGCATTTGCAGTATTTGCCTTGGTGGATGCTGGGCAGGAAGGATGCTGCTGTACCACGTGAATTATGACCTGAAAAGTAAGCTGCTCCTTTACCACTGTGTGCAGGAGCAGTGGGTTGAAATTCACCAGTGATTAATTTAAGAACTGAGTGTGATTTTTTTTTTTTTAATGCTTGTTAGCCTACAGTGTGGTTATTTGATTTTCAAATCTGAGTGATGCAAATGAGTCAACTCAAAATAAGAATAAGAGTAGCCAACTGTAAAATTAGGGGTGTTTTTCTGCAGGGAGAAAGATAGAAGGAGAAAAACAATCCAGTCTTTCCCTGTAGGTTAATGTGCTTTGTGTCTAAATGCCTCTCGTGAGGAGGCACAGGGCGCACAGAACAGTGTGTGACTACGTTCTATTATCCCGAAGGCTTGCTCTGGAAGATATGTATACAGCATGTGCTTTGCTCGAATTTGCAGGGGGTCATTCTTTGAATCTGGAAATTACGGCATTCCTGCATTTTAGAACCGGAAAACCCTTAAATAACTCCTCTAATTCAGTTTCTTTCTGCAGAGGAGGAAAACTGGTGTCTTAAATCTTTTTTACATAGTCTACTATCACTCAGTAATTACCAGTTGAGGGAAGCTTTCATACAGATCTGGATTATGACCAGGGAGTGCCCAGTGTCCTAAAGCAAAGTTGTTCTTTCTAGGAGTAGTGTAGAGAAGAATTTATAAGTGTGACCCTGGAAAAGAGAACCGTGTTTACCTGCTCCTGAATAATCTGGGCTCTGCCTTTAGAGTCCCTCTGGACACAGTGCTTACAGGGTTCAGAACATGTCCTCGGTTTTAGGGGATAAAGGCAGGGGTGGGTGTTGGTTAAGATAGGGCCTATCAGTGGTAATGCAATACCACATTTTTCCACCCAAATGTTCCCATGAGAAACAGAAAGGAGTGAACATCTGAGGGCTGCTGTTCGATCTCCTAGACACACAGGGTCCAGGCTCTACATCCTGTCATTTGTCACCGCCCTTGAAGATCTGGGTAAAGAGGCCTGTGTTTAATGACTGATGGTGTAGGCTAAGGTTGTAGAGGAATGTACTCTGACTGTCCTAGCTGACTCAGGCCATGTGATAAACATATATCACAGGAATAGGTGTGCCGTGTGACACAGGACCTCATTCCTCCACTCGGCCGTGGCCCTGGCTGTAATTATTTCAGCATGTGGCACTCCTCAGTGACAAGCCACAGGCCCGCTTCAGTGTGCGGGTGTGCGCACTTTCTGGGGAATGAGGCCACGCTGGTGCTCTTTCCTGTAGAATTTGCAGCGACTGGAACTCTCTGGAGGAAGTTGCACTACCTTTTCTCTTCTGCAAGGAAAGTAATAATTGCTATTTTCTCTTTGGCTGCTACATAATAAGTTAGTCCCAAATGTATAAATTACCAGGCATCTGAACACTGGAAGAAAATGATGCAGCAGTGAAGTGAAGAAGGCAGCCTTACCTGTCCATCCCAGTGGAAGCCAAGAGCTTTCTTCAAAGGAGAAACACTTCAGAGCACACTCACCATGCAAAGCGGAGGGCGGGGAGGGGTGGGGGGGTTACTTACCTGCATTGCTTACCTGTTATTCTCTCACCACCAAAGACAAATGCTGTGTAAGTTTGGGAGTTTTGTGCTTTATTTACTCAGGATCTACTTTCTGCAAGTCTAGCTTTTCAGTGAACAAGACCCTGATGGGATGACATAGTAGAATAGTATTTAGCATTATTTTTGTTGCCCATCAAACGCTGTAATTCTAAACCACCTCATTTTTATCCCTTACATAATTTGTTCTGGTTTTGTTGCTAATTATTATGGAGCAGCCCTCTTTCTTGCATTCCTATAAAATATTTTTGTAGGTTTTGGTTGAATCTAATAATATGGGATTATCGTTTGCAGAACTCTGCTCATGAATAAGACATAGAACCTTAGGGCAGACTAGCAGGTCCCCCGAGGGCAGCTTTCAGCTCAAGTCCTCTTTCTACATAAACAAATAACAACTGTATAGTGTCAATTGTATAATAGATGCTTAGTAAATGCCAAATTTAAGGGTCTCAGGGGAAAAAAACTTGCAGAGAAATTGCAAGGGAAATCTGACACAAGTTAATGCCTTTTTGGATAGCTATATAAAATCACACATGTATAAGGGAGATTTAAAATACAGAGAAAATTTGCTTCTCAGCCTTTTGGCTAAGATCAAATGTAAAATACATAAAAAAAGAATTGCCCTAAATGTGGAAAATAACTTTACTTCAAATAATATGTACTGATACTCTACTGCCACAGGGCTTTAAGGGCTACAATGCAAGTTACATGTTTTCCAGGTAAATATCAGTCTGTGCGTGGGCACAGGCAAACATCACCGTTCTCTCCTTTTTCCTCACCTCCTCGAGTTCCTGGAAGTGGACCTACTTATTTATTACACTGGGATATTGAGGGCAAAAACATAAGCGTCTTCCAAATCATGTGAGATTAGGGTACATTTTTCTTTTTAGTGATGGTAAAGAGACAAAACAATAAACTCTGCCAGCATGGTGGACTGACAGTGGCTAGGGTTTTTTGAGAACTACTTATCGATATGTTTCTCATACGAGTCAATGTGACAATGTTTATAAGTCCTGAAGTTCAGCTGACTGGGTTTCAGTTTCTGCTTTCCCACACTTTGTGGCTCTGTTACCTTGGGCAAGTTCCTTAACTTCTCTGAGCCTTGGGGCCATGGAGATAATATTAGAACTTTCTTCACCAAGGTCTTGTGAGGATGGGTAGAACGTGGTTATTGGCACTTACCAAGTACTTAACATAGTGGTAAGATAACGAATCCTTATTAATACTTTACACAAACATTTATAATAATATTAATTTTCTCAACAAACGTTTGCAGTTTTTGGTATCCCCACTATACAGATAAGCTAAATGGGGTGCAGACAGGGTAACCCATGTTCAGTACTAACACAGCTCCACCTGACTTCACAGACTAGTACTTCTGACTCTGCCACCTATTCAGATATGGAAAACAATTGCTTATTAAAAAAACTAAATGGGCCCTGGCTGAGTATCTCAGTTGGTTAGAATGTCATCCTGATATGCTAAGGTTGTAGGTTCAATCCCCAGTCAGGGCACATACAGGATGGCAACCAATGAATGCATAAATAAATGGAACAACAAATCTCTCTCTCTCCCTCTCTCTCTCTCTCTCTCTCCCCTTCCCCTCTCTCCTTCCCTCCCTCCCTTCCTTCCTCTCTCTTTCTCTAATCAATAAATAATTTTTAAAGCAGAAAAACTGAATATTTAATCCTGTTTGAGAAGCTGATTCTTTCAGGATAATAAAGGAAAGGGGTAGGTTATGTAGACAAAATTGGAAGCTTAATCTTGGCCACCTTCTCTAGGGTGATGATGAGTCATTGAGAGAAAAACATTATTAGAAAAGCAGCCAGAGCCCTGGCCAGTTTGGCTCAGAGATTAGAGTGTCAGCCTGAAAACCAAAGGGTCACAGGTTCAATTCCCAGTCAAGGGCACATACCTGGCTTGCAGGTTCCATCTCCTACCCTGGTAGGGGATGTGCTGGAGGCAACCAATTGATGTGTGTCTCTCACATTGATGTTTCTCTCTCTCCCTCCCTCCTTCCCTCTCTTCTCTCTATCTGAAAATCAATGGAAAAATATCCTTGGGCGAGGATTAACAAAAAAGAAAGAAAGAAAAAGCAGGCAGAGACCACAAGGAATGGAAAAACAGAAAATGAAGGAACATTAGATCATCACACACAAATACACACACAAAGTAACACAGGAAGCGACTGTGGGTGTGTGCCTTCATTCATTCAACAAGTATCATTTGAATGTCTGCTCTGTGCCGGGAATGTTGACCAACAGAGCCAATGTCCTCTGAGAGCTTCCAGATAAAAGCCCCACACCTAACATTAGTATACAACATGTAAGTGCTGTATGGATGACAGGCTACCATGGGATTAACAAGAGAGCTCCATGAACCAAGAAAGAGGGGTAGAAATCTTTCCAAGGCCTCACCTATTGTAATCGCCCAGGCCTGCTATATCTCAGCTAGAGGTGGAGAGACAGCTGACTTTCTACCTCCAGGGCTGCTTCTGGGGACTTGGACCCACCAGTAATGGATCTGTCTGCAAGGCTTCCTGTCTCCTCCTTCCTCACCCAGCCCTGCATTCATAAAGGCTCCTTTCAGGGGAGCTGCTCCAATGACTCAGCTTTTTCCCCCTGACCATAGGTGTGTGCAGACTGTTGACAGCCACTAGCCAGTTGGTGCATTCTGATTAGTCAGTGTCCATACTGTAGCCACACACCCACCCCTGTCCCTCATTTAACCACCACCCCACACACACCCCAGTTATTAGTCAACTTACCTTGTCATCCACGGAAATAGGATATAAATATTCAGAAATTCAACTTGAAGGAAATAAGATTTTTTATTAACTGTTTTGTTCTCAAAATCCTGTAGGCAAATAGGCCCCAAGTTGGGATGTGACATATTGAAGAGAGGACTGTGAGAAATACAGTGACAGTAGATCAGATTCATCTCCAGGGACATCACATGTGTTTCCACCTTGTCTCTCTGGCTAGACCCTCTATCTCTCAACAGCAGATTTTCATTCTTGTATCCTCTGATGGCAACTTTCTTTTAATGATATGAACTTTTAGAAGCCTAGGGCTGGTTGTATGAATCTGGGAGTTATCTTCTATGTTGATAACTAAAG